TTTTTTTTCTTTTTTTTTGTTTTTGTTTTTTTTTTCGAGACAGGGTTTCTCTGTATTGTTTTGGAGGCTGTCCTGGAACTCGCTCTGTAGACCAGGCTGGCCTCGAACTCACAGAGATCCGCCTGCCTCTGCCTCCCGAGTGCTGGGATTAAAGGCGTGTGCCACCACCGCCCGGCCGGGACAGAATTTTTTAATGACTTAATTTTTTTTTAATTGTAGGGTTGTGTGTGCATGCACATGTGGGTATGTGCCCACTCTGGGGTTCCCAGAAGACATCAAAAAGGTGTCTGGTTTCTCATGAAAGCCAGAGATGGGTGCTTGGAGCCGAACTCAGGTCTTTTGGAAGAGCGGTGATTACTCTTACTCACTGAGTTTTCTAAGTGAGGGGGTCACAGCGGGGGTAAGCTTGGATAGCATACATATGTCACTGAACACTAAAATAAAACTGCCCACAAGTCAGACACTGTATCCTTCTAAAACCCTCCATCCCATCTTTTCTAGTGCCACAATTTGCCCCACATGCTCTGAGCACAGTCTGAAGTATGGCTAAATATGCTTCCTCCAAAAGCCCTGGCCGAGCAGAATGAGAGCCACCAGTATCCGCAGAGCACCGGAAGTAGGGGAGCAATTTCTGCTCTTCGTTCTACAGGTCCCAGCCAAATAGATACCAAAGCTACGAGATTTCAGTTTGGTGACCTGCCGTTATTGGCCACTAGATGACGGTATTGGTTCATAAATTCTATATTTTCGACACTGTGATGGTTTGGAACCAGGTGGACAGCAGGGGGCGGCCTTTCTCAACCCTGACACCAGCCCTGAAAGCTCAGTTCTGGGAAGCAGGAAGAGGAGGCTTAGGACTGGGGGCGCGCAGTCATGTTGCAGATGGGGTGGGAGGGCTAGGGGATTGGTACCAGGACCTGTCTCAAAGAGACATTCTGTGCTCCTCCTTGACTGTGGAATAACGATAATGGGTTGGCCTAGTGTCATCTGATAAACTAACGCTTTTTCTCCGTCGGTGGAACGTGCACTACTTTTTCACGCTGACCATTTTGCTGTGACCTAAGCAGTATTTTTATCCTAATTTCATCGACAAGGAAAATGAGGAGAGGCTGAGTTATACTGGAGCACAGGAGGATGTCTTGTTGATCTCTGAAAGGGCTGCAGGCTTGTTCTTAAAATGGCCCTGGGGACAGAGGGATGGAGTAGGTGTTGTATGAGTCAGGGAATCTTCTTCCGCCTAGCTGGCTGCCATGGCTGGGGTGGGGGAGAGCTTCAAGGAAGCGCTGAACTCCCTGCGGGAGGTGCACAGATACAGCCAGCAGGAAATGAGGAGGCCTGCAGCTTGTGTCCCAGTGAAATAAGTGATGCAGGTGTCTGGACTGAGGGAGCTGGCGCTGCCTGCAGGCTGATAGCAGCGTTTCCTAGTAACTGAGGCATAAGTACCAGGGTTCTAGATAGGGAAGGGAGGGAGTTGGGAAAGGAGGGAGAGGGACCGGAAGGCAGTGCCACTAAAGACTGGGACGTCCTTACTGGGGGAAGGGGCGCTTCCAAGCTCAGCAGGATCATTTTCCTGTTGCTACCGCAGTTGCTACCTGTTTGCATTAACTAAAACAATGGGTGTATGTTATCTCAGTGACTTGTGACAGGCGTCTCTCCAGGACTGCCTCCGAGGCTTCCCCATAGGGCAGTGGATAAGCCTGACTGTGAAGTCTCAAAGGAAAACTCTGGTCTCTGTCACCCACCAGCTCTCCGACCTTAGTCAAGCTACCTAATCGTCCTGTAAAATGGCAGTAGTAATGCCTTCCTCACGAGATTGTTTAAACTTTGAAAGTGATAACGTGTGTAAAGACATGGACTCTGTGAATGCTGTCTCCTTCTTTTCCCCTGACCTCTCCACTGCTTTTACTCAAGTCTCTGGAGCACGCACTCCTGCTGCCTTGGTGGCTACACTGACAGGCATTTTAAAAATCTGGGTTTTAAATAGCAGAAAGCCCATGCGGGTGTGGTGGTGCATGCCTCTAATTCTAGCATCTGGAGAGGCAGAAGCAGGTGGATCTCTATGAATTTGAGGCCAGCCTGATTTTCATAGTGAATTTCAGGCCAACCCAGGCTACACAAAGAGAAAACCCTGTCTCAAAAAACCAAAACAACAACAATAACAAAATCAAATAAATTTGTATTTATTTAACATTTATTATTATTTTGGACAGGGGGATGTTGAGATAGGGTTTCGCTGTGTAGCCTTAGCTGTCTTGAAGTTCACTCTGTAGACCAGGCTAGCCTTGATCTTATGTGTCTAGGTGTTTTGCTTGCATGTATGTATGTGTACTCTGTGTGTGCCCGGTGCCCATGAAGGTAAGAAGAGGGAGTCTGATCCCTTGGAACTGGAGGTAGGGGTGGTTGAGCATCCATGTGGGTGCTGGGAATTGAACCTAGGTTCTCCGAGGAGCAAGTGCTCTTAACCACTGAGCCACCTCTCCGCCCCACGTTTATTTCTGAGGACAACTTGTGGGAGTCAGTTCTCTTCTTTTGCCATGTGAATCTCAGGGAGTAAATGTCAATTGTCGGGCTTGGTGGTAAGCACCTTTATCGTTGGGGTCATCTCACTGACTCTAGTTTTACCTTTTTAAAAAACGAAACAAAATAGGAGCTCGTGTAGCCTAGGCTTGCTCCAAATTCACTATATAGCTGAAAATTACTTTGAATTCATTGATCCCCCTGCCTCTCTTTTCCAAGTGGGGTTAACCATCTTGACAACCTTTTTTCTTTTTTGGAGACAGGGTTTCTCTGTGTAGCTCTGGCTGTTCTGAAATTCACTCTGTAGACCAGGCTGGCCTCAAACTCATGGAGATCTGCCTGCCTCTGCCTCCCGAGTACTGGGACTAAAGATATGTGTCACCATCGCCCAGCTTTGACAACATTTTTAATTTTATTTTTCCAAACTGACATTTTGAGCCCAAAAGCACCAGGTAGTGTGCAGGCTCTGGAAATAGTTTCGCCAGACCCTGCCTGGGGAATCTCATGGTCCAGACTGGCAGCCCCACAGGGAGGTGGTCTTAACGTGCAGTGGATGGACAGAGAGGAGGGTCAACTACATTTATGTTTGTGTGACAGATTCATCCCCACTACCCTCAGAGGCCAGAAGAGATGCTAGATCTCCTAGAACAGGAGCTATAGATGATTGTAAGTTGCCATATGTGAACTGGGAATTGAACTTTTGTCTTTTGAAGAGCAACTCGTGCTTTTAACAGCTGAGCCATCTCTCCAGCCTAGACTTTATAAACTTTTGGTTCAATTTCCAAATGCTAGGATTCAGCCACCATGCCTTTCCTTCCGTCCTTCCGTCCTTCCTTCCTTCTTTTCTTTCCTGTGGTGGTACCTGGGATTGAACCCAGGGCCTCGTGCATGCTTGGCAAGCATTTTACCAACTGGGCTCCATTTTGCTCTTTGAGAATAGGCCGAGATACTTTGTTTTAATCTTTTCTATAATGGTGACCATTATAAATTCAAAAGTGGTGTGAGAGAGAAAGACGCCTCTGAGAACGACAAGCTTCCAGACTGTCTGGAGTAAGGACAGCCACAAGCAGGAGTGTTGACACCAGGCTAAGACAGTGTGGTGTCTGTACCTCAGTTTCCAAGATGGTGAAGGGCCGTGTCTCGGTCTTCACTCTCCTCCTCCCCACAGGTCCTTGCTCTGTCAGCAGAGCTGGCTCTGGAGTGAAGCTGCCCCAGGAGAGGCTGCAGGGCTGCCCGGAGAGGACAGGCAGAGGCAAGGACTAGGTCCAGTCCCATCCACTTTTCAAAGCACCTAGAGATCCCCAGCTGTCCTGGAACTTGCTACAGAGATCAGCCAGCCTTTGCTTGTTGATTGCTGGGATTAGAAGCATATGCTACCATGACTGGCAAATCTGGGAAATGTGGTTTTTTGTTTTGTTTTGTTTTGTTTTTTTTAAGAGACAGGGTTTCTCTGTATTGTTTTTGAGGCTGTCGGTCCAGCCCGGCCTCGAACTCACAGAGATCCACCTGCCTCTGCCTCCTGAGTGCTGGGATTAAAGGCGTGCGCCACCACCGCCCGGCATGTGTTGTTTTTTTTACAAGTAACTCTAAGAAAAATTTCTAGGGGTCAACCTTAACTCAAGCTGGATCCTTGAGATCCACATGGTGGAAAGAGAGAACCAACTCCTGCTTAGCTGGGCCAACAAGAGTCATCTTCCAACAGGCAACAGGCTCCCTGAACCCCCTGGGGCTCTCTCCACACCAAGCCTTTACTGCCAGGTTTGGGGTATCACCTCCATCTTTGCCTGGGGCTGTTCCCTGGCCTATAACTCGCCATCTTTGCCTGGGGCTGTTCCCTGGCCTATAACTCGGATGTTGGAGAGTGAGACCTCTACTTCCTACTGTATGTTCAGAGTTTCAGGATGGTGTACAGAGTGGGAACTCCGCAACCCTTCAGGACTCCACAGAGGTAGTTATCAGAGGGCACAGGCTCTTTGTCCCTGGCCCAGCTCAAAGGTATGGCAATCAAGGCTTTTAGGAACGAAGGTCTGAAGGAACCTGGCAACCAAAGACTTCTGGATTAAGTAGAAATGTCCACTGACTCTGATTCAGAAGTCATCTGATTTTTTTCTCTTTCTTTTAAAGATGTATTTATTTATTATGTATACAGTATTCTGCCTGCACATATGCTTGCACACCAAAAGAGGGCACCAGATCTCATTACAGATGGTTGTGAGCCACCATGTTGGGAATTGAACTCAGGTCCTCTGGAAGAGCAGTCAGTGCTCTTAACCTCTGAGCCATCTCTCCAGCTGCCCCCTCTCTTTTTTTCTTTATTTGAAACAGGTTTTCTCTATGTAACCCTGGCTGTCCTGGAACTCGATCTATAGACCAGGTTGGCTTCGAACTCAGAGATCCACCTGCCTCTGCCTTCCAAGTGCTGGGACTAAAGGCATGCACCACCACTGCCTGGTGGTCATCTGATTATTAACATCATTGCTTCATTTCCATTTAAAATTTTATTACTTGAAAAGAAAACACTCCACAGAACAAACCAATAAAACTCAAAACCTAAATGAGCTCAGTGACAGATTATTAAGGTTCTAGTTCTGCCCCCGAAACCACATACATTAAAAAACTCAAAAGAAATAGAAATGCCAGCTTCAAAAATATTTATCCAAAAAGTAAGGCATCCACTTAAAAAAAAAGAGAGAGAGATAATAATTCAAGGAGGGGGTGGGTAGAGGCTGGGGGAGTGAGAAGAAAGGGATTGAGGGATGGTCCCTGGTCCCCCAGAGGCCCCACAGCCAGCCTGGACTGTCCTCTGAAGGACCAGGCAAAGGCCCTGGGGTTTTCCAGTTTGAGTAGATGGAATGAGGGTTGGGTCCTGCTTTGTGATCAACAGATCCTGTCCCTAGCAGAGCAGGTGTGGTGGCTACCAGGACAAGGCAAACCCTGTTACCTTCTGGGAGAGCACAGGTCAGCTTTTCTGAGGTCTCCAAAGGGAGTGCCTTTCTGTCACTGTCTTCCATCTTGTCCCAGATGGGATGGCAGGATGGTGGTGGGATCATTTGAGTTGGGGGAGGGGAGAGGGACTAGCCTTCAGAACCTCCCCCCACATGGTCTCCCCAGGGTGAGGGTGAGCACCTGTGGGGAGGGGGAAGCACCCTTCCTTCCAGGGAAGGCATTTAACACCAGGACTGTCCTGAAGGGTAGAACTAGGGAGCATTTTTAGGCTCAGTTCTTGAATGGGAGATGACTTAAGGCTGGTTTGACTCTTAATTTCAGCCCCGAAGGGCTCTGCTTCCTGCCTGGTCCTTGAGCCAAGGTCCGATGAGAAGAAGGGTGAGGCTGGCCGGCAGTGCTTGTGCGTGGGAAGAGCTGCTGGGATGGTGAGAGCCACTGCTCTCTCACAGGAGGGGAGGTGTAGCTGAGTCGCTTTGCCCTTTAGAGAGAGATAGATGTCTACTAGACTGAACTTAACAAGTCTTTCTGGCTTCAGGGAGCTTTGGCACCACAGGGGGACAGGAGGCAGGAGCAGGGGCAGGAGCAAGGGTAGGGCTTGGCATCTGCAGTCTGAGCCTTCCCCTGTGTATTCCACAAGCATGGCTTAGCTGGGGATAGGGTGATCCTCCTTCTTGGTCCTTAGCTCAGTGGGGAGGAGGCACCCTGAAAGGGAAGTTTCTGGGCAGGGCCTGGGTCGGGCAGGGGAGTGGTAGTGGTACAGGGTGAGGAGCGAACCCTCTGCCTTTTGGGTCCCTGGTGACTGAAGAGGCATTTGAGTCTCTCCAGCTGACGGTGAGTGGTGACGCTTGAGTTTCATTGGTCTTCCCCAGACAACTCACTGTGGCTGGCTGCCACCTCCTCCTTCCCAACCTGGGCTCAGAACTAGGGAGAAGACGCAGCAGTGAGCCCAGGTTTCTTAGAGGCACCCAAAGGGCATGGGCCTGGGAGGGGGTCTTGTAGGGTACCCACGGCACCTTCACTCTCCTCTGTCCCTTGGAGTGCGTGCAGGCCCAGGTACCCTGACCTTGACCGTGGGCCTTGGGGCTGGAAGCAGTTCTTTGGGTACAAGAGTGTCTTTGTTTAGAACTTGTCACCATGGACACCCAGGTCTTGCCCCTGCCTGACAGAAGTCAGAAGTATGTGTGTGTGTGTGTGTGTGTGTGTGTTGGGGGGACCTAGGCAGGGATGCAGGGCAGAAAGGATGAAGGAGGGAGTGGTCAGTTAAAGGGATGATAGTCCTCAGAGCTAGGGCTGTTCCTCTGAGTCCTGGTCCTTGACAGGAGCAGGCTGGAAGATGGGCTTCTGCTGCTCCTCCTCCACGTCATCCGTTGCTTCCTCTGTCCCTGAGTCCCCCTCCACCTGGGGATACACGACCACACACATCTTCTGACTCACTAGGGTTATTAATTCTGTGGGAGGGAACAATACAGAAACCAGGTCATTGCTTGGTAGGCTGTGACCCCACAGTCAGCTCAACTCTGGCCAGCTCTTCCACCTCAGCTTCTACCTCAGAATAGCCAGTGACTTTTGGAGACTGGCTTGCCCATGCTGCATTTTCTGATGGCTACCTCTCGCTTACCAAAGCTCTAGCCTTCCACTAGACTCCCTGCCCCCATTCCCAGGGCCTCCACTGGTCTCCAGTTAGCCTGTCCTGGGACTGGTAGATGGCTGGCAGGCTGCCCCAGGTCTGTCTGGGGATGCCAGCTGCTCTCTGGAAGACATCTGTCATTCCTGGCCCCAAATCAGGAGCCCTGTGGACTCAAGTGAAGGTAAACCTTGCCTTTCTGCTTCTGGTAGGGCTCTTCTGATTCTACTGTGTCTCTTCCCAAGAGGCCCTCTCTCTAGCCACCACTTACCAATGAAGTCATTGAAACACTTGGGTTTGTGTTGCCAGTAGACACCCAGGAAATAGACAGGTACTCCCGTCAGCATGATAGCCAGGCCAATGCCGCACACCACCGGCTCTGACCACAGGCTGAAGATCAGCAGGAAGGCCCAGAACAGCAAGTAGATGATGGGAAACAGCAGACTGATCTGTGGGGCAGAGGGACTGTGAGTCATGTGGCTCTTGATGTCCCTCAGGATGAGGGCGCCCTCTCCCTTCTTCATCCTCATCCTTGAGGGCAATGGCTGCACTTCACTCAGCTCTGTGTCCCAGACCTTAGGCTCTTATAGGTGCTATATCAGCAGATGCTGGTGAAATAGGACAGGGAAGTAAGGATCTTTACTGCTCAGGTCCCTTCCAGGTGAGATCAGATAACATCTCATGACTCATATTAGTGCCTGTGGCAGCCAGAGAAGCCCAGGGGAGTGAGAAGCTGGCCAGGGTGGTAGTATCCATCTGCAGGGTCCCGGAAAGGGAGAGGCAGGAAGCAAATGGCCCGCTTTGGCTCCTGTCTTCACACCCACTTCCAGGCCAGGCCTCATCTGGACTCACCACAGCCGTGCTCATCCCCTCACACGAGGATCAGCTTCAATTTATTTGCTCAAGCAATGGGAGAAGAGAAAGCAGCTTCATCCCAGGAATCCAGCAGGGCACAAGGCAGCCTAGAACCTGGACTTATTTTGTCCAGAAGGAAACATTGGCTCCACAGGTGTGGCTTCCTGCTGATTGCATGTGAGCCGTACCTTAGCTGGTCTTCCTGATCTAGGGGCAGCTGCTCAAGATGCCTACCTCCCTGCGTGCTCCTCTCAGAATGGGGCAGTGAAAATATCAGAGAGACCCAAAGAGTCCTCCTTTCTCAGACAGAAGAATCTTCTAGAAGTATCTTGTTTTTAGAACAGGATTCTCAAATAGCTCCAGGTTCTACTCAGTTGCGAGAGAACTCTGCACTTCAGTACACCTTGTTTTGAGCAGTCTCAGAACAGACAATGTCGGGTTTGTTTGTTTGTTTGTTTACAGTAGCATCACTAAGTTCACCGAGCCTCCTACTGTGTGGGTAGTATTGGGAGCGTGGAAAGCAAGGACTGTAGACATGGACTGGAAAGCTTCTAGAAAGAGGGGGTACTTGGTCATCGGTTAGAATTTAAACAAGCAGATGGAGGAGACTCACTTGGGACAGACACAGTGTAGTGAGCCCAGATATTGGAGGAAAGCGCAGATAAGAGAACCCTGAATCCTTCGATTTAATTGTGAAGAAAGGAAATAGCTGTCCCATTCACACACGACCAAGAGCCACGACTGAAAAACCCGGTCGCACTAGATGCCGTGGAAAAGGGAAGGGACCCCTCTCACCTTGATGGGCCGGGGGATGTCAGGCTTCTTCCAGCGAAGCACTATCTGCCCTGCAACCGTGACCCCGTAGAAGAGGTAGTTGATGAAACCCACGTAGTTGATGAGCGTGTACATGTCACTGGTGACCAGCATCAGCAGTGTGGAGAGGCACTAGAGAAACGAGAGTCAGAGGAAGGAGGCTGGAGGGGTGCTCCTGGTGAGGGGTGCTCCTGGTGAGGGGATGCTCCTGGGTGAGGGGATGCTCCTGGTGAGGGGATGCTCCTGGGTGAGGGGATGCTCCTGGTGAGGGGACGCTCCTGGGTGAGGGGATGCTCCTGGTGAGGGGACGCTCTGCCCCTCCAGCCCGGGTGTGCTGTTTTATAGCAGACATCCCAAGAGGGGGGCTTCACAGCCACCTGGAGTAGCCAAGGATGGGCTCTACCTTCATTGTCAGGAACTTCTTTCTGGATTTTTTTTGAGATAAGATCTCTCTATGTAGCGCTGGCTGTCCTAGAACTTGCTATGTGAACCAGGCTGGCCTCAAACTCAGAGATCTGCCTGCCTCTGCCTCCTGCGTGCTGGCATTACAGGTGTGGGCCACCACTTCTGGCTAGGAACTTCTTTCTTATTGCAGGGGTAGAATCAAAGTGTGTAACCACTGTTGGGGAGTAATCATTCAGAGTGGATACCCGGATTGGCTGCGCTGGTGTGACTGGCTCGAGCTAATTTTTTTCTTTTTGTTCTTTTGACTCCTTAAGGAGATCGTTAACTGATAAGCAAGGCTTTATTCTTATTATTATCATTTTCTCTTGGCTGAGTAATCTAATTTACTCTTTAAAAAATGATTAAATAGCCAGGTGATGGTGGTGTAGACCTTTAATCCCAGCACTGGAGAGACAGGCAGGTGGATCTCTGTAAGTGCTGAGGACAACCTGGTCTACAGGACAGCCAGGGCTACACAAAGAAACTCTGTCTTGAAAAACCTAGGGGAAGAGGAGATTAAACAGTAACATATATTAACAATAGTCAGATTGTTAGCATTCTACAAATACAAACTCATTTAAATCTGTAAGATCCCTATGAGGTTTTCTCAGTGGAAGTGGCTTTCCAACTTCAAAGTCATCTCTGTGTCTCTCTTGGAATGAGTTGTTGGGGAGAGGCACTGTGCCTGCCTGTAGTACACTCTGAGCACCGGTCTCTCCACACCTGACAGCGATAAGGCCTCGGATATAGCCAGCCTCCCTTCATGTCCAATGTCAGCCTCCCTTTGTGTCCAATGTCAGCCTCCCTTCGTGTCCAATGTCAAGCTACTGTGAGAAACACCCACTACTAATTATGCTCTGGAAGCCACCCTCCGATAATCTGTGAAGGCCAATGAGGCTTAGTTCTCCCATGGGATTTGATGGTAAGTGGATTTCAGTAGGTGAACAGCTCATATTCTCACTGTACCTGCCTTGTAGTCATAGAGCTGCAACTCTATGACAGCTGAGAACAAGTCATGTGACTCATGGAAAATACTGTCCCCTTCCGTCGCTTTCTGCAACTGTCCTAACAAGATGACCTTCGTTCTGTATCTGCACATTCTGGAATTCTCCCAGTGAGCTCCACTCCCTTGACTTCTGACCACCTCTTTTGGGGATAAAAGTAAACTTGCTTTTGTTGTTGTTTTGAGACAAGGTCTCTCTACTTAGCCCTGGTTGGCCTGGGACTCGCTATGGAATTGGATTCAAATTCAGAAATCTGCCTGCCTCTGCCTCCTGAGTGTTGGCTTGCCACCATGTCTGTCTCAAAGTAATTTGTAATGATTTACCCCAGGATTTAAAAGAAAAATAAAATTAATTCAAAAATTAATGAGGACAGTCTTCGCTTCTTCCTTTAACTCTCTACAGTCGTGGTTTCAACCTTCCTAATGCCGAGACCCTTTAATACAGTTCCTCATGTTGTGGTGACCCCCAATGATAAAATTATTTTCGTTGTTACTTTATAACTGTAGTTTTGCTACTGATATGAACTGTGATGTAAATATCTGATGTGCAGCCCTGTGGGGGTCGTGACTCACAGGTTGAGAACCGCTGCCCTAAATGATTCTGTTCTTTTTTTTTTTTTGGTTTTACGAGACAGGGTTTCTCTGTATTGTTTCGGAGGCTGTCGGTCCAGCCTGGCCTCGAACTCACAGAGATCCGCCTGCCTCTGCCTCCCGAGTGCTGGGATTAAAGGCGTGTGCCACCAACGCCCAGCGATTCTGCTCTTTTTTTATTCTGTTTCCTTTCCCCACTTTCAATTTATGCCTTTTCCCCCGTCTGTGCCCTGAACTAGATTTATTTTGATGGCATTTTCCAAGAGGCAGGAAGTGTGTGTGTGTGTGGGGGGGGATGAACATCTGCTGTGACCAGCTGAAACACAGGCTCAACACTGTGCCCTGTGGTAGCAGGTGCCGGTAAGGCCAATAACAGAGACATGTATTTGGGAGGCTGTGGTATCCCAAGTCTTTTTGTTTTTGTTTTTTCCGAGACAGGGTTTCTCTGTGGCTTTGGAAGCTGTCCTGGAACTAGCTCTTGTAGACCTGGCTGGTCTTGAACTCACAGAGATCCTCCTGCTTCAGGCTCCCAAGTGCTGTGCCACCACCAAGTCTTTTTTCATCTGACTCAATAGGACAGGAGACTGAAAATGAGCCAGCCTGAGAGTTGTGGGTGTTTTTGCCTGGGATCGTTTCTAATTATATCCCTTGACATTCATAGAGCGTTGGCCGCACGTGCAAGCTTAGCTAGGGCTTAGTGAAATGCAGAGCTCAACCAGAAGGAGACAGGTGTGTGTGTGTGTGTGTGTGTGTGTGTGTGTGTGTGTGTGTGTGTGCGCGCGCGTGCGGATAGTGTGAATCCCAGTCGTGACTAGGCACAGAGCGAGGGGAGGAGCTGTGCGAGGCCAACCGCGGCAGGGAACCTTACTGTGAAGAGCAGTGCGGGGATGGGGGTGCAGCGTTTCACGTGGATCATGGCCAACACGCTGGGAAGGTGGCCTTCTCTGGCTCCAGCAAAGAACAGCCTGGCAAGGAGAAAAGTAGGTCAGCCTGGGATAGCCTGGGAACCTCTAAGCCGAGGCTCTGTCATCCATGCCCACCTTAGACCCACACAGTGGCACTGTCCCCCAGCCAGGACCTGCCTTTGTGCCACACTTTCCAGCCCCAGAGCCTCTGCTCACAAACGCAGGCACAGGCACACCAGAGGCAGCCAATGGGCAGGTGGATGGACATCAGGCATGTCAACGCTGAGGGTACCATCTGGCTGGCTCAGGGTGCCACACTGTCATTCCGAATCATTCCCATGGTTCAAGGCTACAGGTTGAACAGCTTCTCTGCCCTTGTTTTTTATTTTTGGTTCTTTGAGACACATTCTCATGCCATCTATGTGGCCCTGAACTTCCCCGTAGCAAAGACAGGCTTGGAATTCCTCCTGCCTCCACCTCCTGAATACCGGCATTAGGCCTGTCCCTTTGCCTGGCTGTGTGTCTCCTTTACATGAGAACCTTCTGATGCTCTGGGGTGACTGATTCCCTGGCACACAGCTCTGAGCTTGCTGTGCAACGGTTTAAAAAAACACCCTCATCACAGTCAGAGAGCAGCTGCTTCTGGGAGGCCAGAGAGGGGCCACGGGCTGCAAAAGGATGGGGGAACCTGGGAGAGTCAGTAAAAGTTCTGGGGTTATTGCCTTCAGCATTTCTAACCATCACAACTTGTCAGTCACTCTTAAAGTTTGTGCATTTTATTGTATATGCTCTGCACTTAAAATGTTTGCCCTGCGGTGGTGGCACACACCTTTAATCCCAGCACTCGGGAGGCAGAGGCAAGCGGATCTCTGTGAGTTCGAGGCCAGGCTGGACCAACAGCCTCCAAAACAATACAGAGAAACCCTGTCTCGAAAAACCAAAAAAAAAAAAATGTATGCCCTTAGAACTACTCATTCTGTTCCCAAGAAGCCTTCTTTAGGAAAACAAAAACTGAGAGGTACCGAAAGGTACATAGACAAAAAGGCTCTGGCAGTGAGTCCAACTGCAAATGGCCTCAATGCTTAAAATCATGAGAGTGGCTAAAGAAAGTAGGATATGTGTGTAATTATGAAGCAAAGAAAAATCCTGTTTCTAAGATTTTCTTTTTTTTGTTTCAGGTGCATGGGTGTTTGTCTGAATGTATGTCTGTGCACCATGTACAAGCAGTGTTGGTAGAGGCCAGAAGGCGGCAGATCGTTACAGATGGTTGAGCCGCTGTGTGGGTGCTGGGAGTTGAATCTGGGCGCCTCTTCAGCCCTCGAAATCATGTTTCTGAAGAAAATGATTCTGTGACAGCATGCTCACAATACAACATCAAACAAAAATGTGGAATACAAAACTGTGATCCGGAGCTGGGCGTGGTGACGCGTGCCTTTGAACCCAATACACCAAGCTGAGGGAGAGGATTTCCAGTTTGAGGCTAGCCTTACATGAGACCCTGTCTCACAAATGGGGAGGAGGCTGGAGGGTCAGCTCATTGGTTAAGAGCACTTGCTGCTCTTGCAGAGAAACTTGGTTCAATTCCCAGCATCCACACGGTGGCTCACAACCACTTACGATTCCAGTTCCTGGGGGACCTGACACCCTCTTCTGACTCTGTGGGTGCTAGGCATGCACACAGTGCACAGACACATGTGCAGACGAAGGTCATACGTCTTAAAAGTAATAATCTAATTATCAATGAAAAGTAATCAATAATTGTAGGAGTGAACCCCACAAAGCTATCCGCCCATGAGGGCGGGGACATGCAAACTGACACAGGTAGATATAAAAGGAAGTGAAAGGAAAAGGAACCTCCCCTTTTTCTCCTGGAAGCCAGCCACGCTTCTAACTCCTGGTTTGAGCGACTCTCTCTCTCTGGTAAATAAATATATTGTTTTCCATATAGCATTGAATATCTTTGATAAATAATCTAATTATCAATTAAAAGTGATAATCTAAAAAATGGGGGGTGGTTATACACCCTTAGGAGGGCAAGGAGATAGTGGGGACGACAGAGACAGAGACACAGACCCACAGAGAGGACAACATTAAAGCAGCCCCTTCCTTCCCTTCTCTTTATACTTCTTCCAAACAAAACAACCCACACTGCCAGTAGTCCTGTGCATATTAACGTCCATAATCTGTTTTCTTTCTTTTTTTTTTTCGAGCCAGGGTTTCTCTGTGGCTTTGGAGGCTGTCCTGGAACTCACTCTGTAGACCAGGCTGGTCTCAAACTCACAGAGATCCACCTGCCTCTGCCTCCCGAGTGCTTCAGAATGCTGGGATTAATGGCCACCAAAGCCCGGCACATAATCTGTTTTCTTTAATCGCTTTAATTTCACCCATTTATTTGTCTGTGTGTATGAAATGACGACTTTTGGGAGTTCTCACCTTCCACCCTTGAGTTGGGTTCCCGGGGTCAAACTCAGGTCATCAGGTTTGGCAGCATTGCCTTTATCTGCTGAGTATCTACTTTTACTTTTCTCTAGGGCCGGCGGCTGAGCGGAAGGTGACAGTGTGACAGGGCACAGGCTATTGCTGTCTGTAGCCCAGGCTAGCCTGGAAGTCTTGGACTTCTTGATTTAGCCTTCTGAGGTCTGACATCAGAGGTTTGTGCCCCCAGACCTGGTACAGACGAGGGATTCTAAGAGAACTGCCTCTCCACGCTTTGTATACGGGGTAGAATGGTGCTAACAGTAGCAGCTCAGAAGAGTGGGAGCTGACTGTGACTCCAAGTGCCCATAAGCAGCTGCCACCATGAACTGTTCAGGCCAGCTTCCCTAGTTTCATGCAGAAGACACATGCAGCCCCTCCCTTCTTCCATGCTATGGTCTTTTCCAGCCAGCCCAGGGTCATGCACTAGATGGAGCCTCGCAGACTCTGTGGGCTTCATCATGCACATAGCCAGGCTCTCATTCAGATCCCCCTCCCATACGACCAGGACCAAGTGTAATTGTCCAGGTCTAAGAGTCCCACGTCAGGTTCACAAGTTAGGGAACAAAGGAGAGTATGATGGCACCAAGTAAAACACACACACACACACACACACACACGCACGCACGCACACACACACGCACGCACGCACGCGCACGCACGCACGCACACACACACACACACACACACACACACACACACACACACACACACTGTCTGCTCAGCAAGGACCATCCAGATTCAAACTAAGACATAAAATAATGAAAGAGGAGGGAGTGAGGGAGGGAAGAGAGAAGAAAGTAGTAGGTGAGCAGAGGTGGCCCGGGAAGGGAGGCAATTCCTCCGGCATCTCCTGCATGCACACACGACTATGCTACATGCATGCAGACCACTGTGTGGCCTGCCTGAGGGACAAACCCCAAACTAAAGCGACTGTAGCCAGCCACTCTCCTCCAACAGATCCCAGGGGGCCTCCTGGGTCACTGCTCTTCCACTGCTCGCCCTCTGCTAGGCCTCCAGGTGGCCACGGCTCCTGTGTGACACGCACACGAGGTTGCTAGGGGTGAGTGTGCGTCCTCCTCTTTATTGCTCTGGACCCTGGAAACATGGAAGTCTCTGTCATCTCACAGGAACTTCTCTGTGATGCGGCAGGTGGCTTGGGAAACAGTCGAGCCCAGGCTCGTCTTTTGAATAGGACTGTGCTCCCAGGGCACAGAAAACCTGCGGGCCACACAGATGGCAACCCTTCGGCATTTGTACATCCCGCAGTCCATTCTAGAGATGGCAGGAAGGGACATGAAAGAGAAGCCTGATCTCTGGATAGACAGAGGCAAGGCTCCAGGGCCCACTCACGTTTCTGGCTTCCCAAGGAATTCTGGGTTGGGGTTGTGGCTACCGGCTCTCTCATTGACGAACGTTTCCTTTCTACTCTTCCCTGTGCAGCCCGTGGCCTTCTGCAGTACCTGCTGCCTCTTGAGTAGGGAGTAGTCCTACATCACAGGGATCTCATCCCAGGTGGAGTCTGGCTCCAGACATCCATGGGCGGCCAGATCCAGAGGCTTCAAGCATAAGAATCCTTCCAGGTCCCTTTCAAAGTAGGGTTTCTTCTGGACAGTAGCTGACAAGGGGGGAAGGGGACTCTAGGAATGTAGTCAAGACGAAATCCTGCTGCCACAACAAGGCCGGCTGCAGCCTGCACACCACGTAGTGTAGGCTACCCTCCGGACAGCAGATCCCCCCTTAGCACACACGCTGACATGCGTACTCCTGCAAAGCCACCACTCAGGAGGTTGCATAGACCCCTGCTGAAGACAAATCCATCAGAGGCACACAGAGCAATGGACGCAGAAAAGTGGCCAGGCAGGGCCCGGGCAAGCACTCACCGGGAGGAGGTGAAGAGTGAGCCGTTGACTCCTCCGAATGTGGACAGGGCAACAGAAATGGGCATGATCCAAGCCATGACCCCCAGAAGCTTCTCTCCAAAAGTCTGAGGAAGAAAACAAGAAGTGAGTGATGAGTAAGCGTAAGAGCCCTATTCCAGCTTGCTCCTCACTTCCGGAGTGCCTGTCTCCCATCTACCCGGCTGATCCTCTCTGAGAACCCGGGTCCAGACTACCATGACGCAGGGGCAGCTACACACCAGGAACACGTGCTGTGGGCTAATTTACTGAGAGGGCCAGGGCATGGTGGTGATAACAGTAATGAACACTTATCCTTCTTTACAAATGAGGAAACGGAGTTCCCTAGTGATCTACAGCTTACCTCAGATCATACACTGGGGCAAAGGAGGGTCACGATTGAAGGTCAGGTGCTGTAAGTCCAGCACGTGTACACTACAGAGTTCTCTGTACATGGAGGTACACAGCCTAGGAGTCAGATCTGAGTTCAAGCCCTAGTACCACCTTGAGCAAGGCTTAGAGAGAGAGAGAGAGAGAGAGAGAGAGAGAGAGAGAGAGAGAGAGAGAGAGAGAGAGAGTGTGTGGTGCTGGGATGGAACACAGGGCAAGCACTCCACTACAAGGTCCTTCAAATACCCACTTTTTCCTTATGAGAGCAGTTTGCATGACTCCCAGAGAAAGAGGGACAGAGAATCAGTATGTCTTGTGCAAGCATATGTCTCTGTGAAGAGCAGTCTGTCTTCTTACATAACCTGAACGCTTAGAGTGCCCTAGAGCAGGAGTCAGTGAACTTGTTCTGTAAAACATTAGATATTTCAACACCAAAAGCCATATAGACTCTGTGGCAACTGCTTAGGTAACCATGGTAGCTGTTTTGGAACTAACCCAGCCATTGGTTTACTCTCAGGCATTTGGAGATATCCTGTGAAGGACACATGCAGATTTGAGTCCGAGCAGGTGGATGACTTTCAATTCCATGAGGCACTGGACCAGGGAAAAGCGAGTGGGCTAAGTTGGCAGGTCAACATCAGTGTTCTGGGTCTGGGACCCAGAGTGATTCTTACCACAGCGACTGCATTTGAGGCCAGCAGCTCCTGGGGGGACATTGCAGTGACATACGCGATATTGGCAAAGACATACACAAATGTGACCAGTGGGATGGAGATGAAGATGGCTCTGGGAAGGTTCCTGTAGAGGGAGAGGAGGTGAGAGGGAAGCCCATACCAGAGATGTGTTCTGGTAGGGGACCACAGGAGCCTAGATTTGCAGCTTCTTGGCCCTTCCTCTCTCTGGGAGGGAGGTTTTGACTCAGGTGGGGCAGGATTACTTGGAGGAAATGGAACAGTTTAGACTACTTATAACTTCTTGACTTAGATCTGGACCACGAACCACACTTTCTGTTGTCTTAAGACATAAGGCTGGGCCTGGCTCCGAACAGATACAACTCCAAGACTTCTCAGGGCAGCTCCTCCTCCTTCTTTACAGCCGCCACACCAGCCTGCACAGATTTCTGATTTTTTTCTTCTTTTTATGTTTTCCAAGACAGGGTTTCTCTGCAGAGCCCTGGTTGTCCTGGAACTCATCCTGTAGACCAGGCTGGCCTGGAACTCACAGAGATTCACCTGCTCTGCCTCCTAAATGTACGCCACCACTGCCCAGCCCAGCTCTCCGATTTTTTACTTGCCCTGGGACACTCATAGAACCCTTTCACTTCTCTCAGCAAGGCAGACAGTAAATGGCTCAAAAATGAACTGTTCCTTCATGGAAGATCAGGACAGGTGCAGCATAGAGGCAAGAGGTGGATCTATGTTACCTTCCCCCAGAAATGGGCACTGTGTGGGCTAAGGTGACCGGAAGGGCTGGACTCTTCCACTCACTTGTAAGGGTCCACAAGCTCCTCAGTCACGTAATTAAGAAAGTTCCAGCCTCCGTAGGCAAAGGAGCCCTGGAGGAAAGCCAGAGCGACGAGGCCGATGTCAGGTTCTTGGAAATTCTCAAATGCATTCTTTGGCTCCAGCCAAAAGAACTCTCCTGTGGACACAACAGGCAGGAGGCTGTTCAGAGAGGAGAGCCCCTGACCACCCCTCCCCTGTGGTGATACACCTGCTCCTTATCTGCTCTTCCGCAAACCGCTGTGAGAGAGAGGAGCGCTCGACGGGTGGGGACTTCTCAGACCCTGGCACCTGAGAACCACGAGTCCGAACGAGGGTTCAGGTTCAAATCACAGCTCAGAAAGTTCTTTATTTTTATTTTATTTCAGTTTTTTTTTTTGAGCTGGGGTTTCTCTGTAATTGCCCTGGCTGTCCTGGAACTCACTCCCTAGACCAGGCTGGCCTCGAACTCACAAATATACCCCTGCCTTGGCCTCCCCAGTGCTGGGATTAAAGGTGTGTGCCACCACTGCCTGGCAGAATGTCCTTTTTAAAAGACAGTATTATTTGAAGGGAAGCTCATGGAAATAGGGAGGCCAGCATCAATGACAGTCTTTTTGACTACTTTCCCTGATATATATGATTTGCATGTTTATGAAGAAAGCATAAGGAACAACCAACACTCAAATGTAAGCTTACACAGAGTTCTTGTGTCCTGTCAGTTCAAGCATATTTTGCTTGCTCTACCTATAACCCCTCACTGCCTAAGGGATATCTGGTCTCCTTTCGGATCCTTCAGTGAGGAGCCTTGAAACGGCCTTCCCAGTATTTACAGTGTTCAGAAACTGGACCCTCAAAAAAAAAAAAAAGACGCTGGGGTTGGGCTGGAGAGAAGACTTAGCACTTCAGAGTGCTTGCTGCACCTGCTCAGGACCCAGGTTTCATTCTCAACAGCCACATGGTGGCTCACAACCATCTGAAACTCCAGTTCAGATGACCCAATGCCCTCTTCCACTTTTACCGGCACTAGGCATGCACGTGGCACACGTATACATGAGCAGGCAAAACAGTCATACATATAAAATAAACATAAATTTTATTTTTTTAGTTTTTTTCCCCCAGGCTAGAGACACAGCTTTGTAGTAGAGTGTTTGCCCAGCATGCACAAAACCTTAGATTTAAGTGTACACACACACACACACACACACACACACACACACACACACACACACACACAGAGCTGCTGACTAAAAAGGCTGGGATAAAGCAGAGTAATTGGCTGTGTTCTTTAGACATCTGTAATCTAGCATTAGGATGGGAAACCAGGAGAAAGAATTGAGACCAGGTAAGGAAGGACTCATTATCTTTGAAAAGATAGGATGATGTTTCCTGAGCCTAGATAGCTGAAAACAATACCCCCTCCCCCACGGGCTTCATCTGGCTGCTGAAATCATCAAGGTCAGTATCTTGAACGAAAGATTGTCTGCTGCCGGGGTCTCCACTCCGCCCTCAGAGCTTGGGGGCAGCCAGGAGGTGCTCCTGTTTGTCATTTCACTTTCTCACAGAGGCAGTGACGCTGTGCAGAGCCCAGCAGAGCTGTGGGTCCCATGGAAACCAAATACAGATCAAATCCAATGGGGAATGTTGGCAGAGGCCTCAAGAATGTAGAGCTCTTTCCCCAGAGATTATGAGTAATATTGAAATACATAAAATTCTCCCCTTCTGTTCCTCATTTTAAGATATTGACAAAGTACAACAGAAATGTAAGGAACTTCTTCCCTGGGGTAGCAACTGCGTTCAGAGATCCGGGGCCCTGGCTTAGCTGTGCTAGCCTCGAGGCAAGTGTGGATCTTTGCAAGATGGCGTGTGCGAGTGGAGGTGGGCAGCCCTAACCCTAAGGAAAACAGTTTCTCATCTTCTTTGTCGAGGAAACGGACAACAGAAGTCAGTCTAACACACGGTCGGGGGATCTCAGGGTGTGTCCAGGCAAGGGGTGGGGGAAGAGTTATGTGGTCCTGGCGACTTTTACCTTTGCATATCTGCACGATGCCCATGATAATGATCAGGGCCAGGGCCAGCAGCTTCCCGGCTGTGAAGATGTCTTGAACCCGGGTGGCCCATCGGACGCTGGAGCAGTTGACCCATGTGAGCAGCACTGCAATGACAACACCAGAGAGGCCCTCAGAGGACACACTGCTCACAACCTCACACCCACAGCCCCAGTGACCAGAAACTTTGACTGGGTTAACAGGTTACAATGGGGATTACATGCCCCAAATTAGAGCTTGGTCAGAGCGTTCACTCCCCGTCCCGGGCTAGGAGCCAGATAGGCAGGGACGTGTGGGCACTGACTCAGGGGAGACTTACTCATGACCAGGGTACAGAATGGACTCAGGAGTCCAGCTGTCATCTGTTCATGGGGAACCCTGGTTCTGGGGCAACAGAAGGTTAGGGGCTCTTGTTACTTAGGTTTATTAAAGTATAAAATCCATCTTAAAGCAACAAGCAACACCAACACAATTTGCGCCCTCCTGCCCCAGCCTCCTCTTGAAGTGTCTGAACTATAGGTTTGTGCTACCACATCCTCCTCAAAATTCACCTTCCTCCTCTTTTATTCATTTTTTTTCGTGTGTATGGGGGTGGTTTTGAGACAGGGTTTCTCTGTGTAGTCCTGACACTCAATCTATAGACCAGGCGGGCCTTGAACTCACAGAGACCCGCCTGCCTCTGCCTCCCGAGTGCTGTGATTAAAGGCATGCACCACCACTGCCAGGCCTATCGTCTCTCAATACAGGAAAATAATGTGCTTCCGGCCTTGGCTTCTCATGAGGATTAGGGGATCACACTTATCTGGGGACCTGAGGGGTGGGGGGCATCCGTCATTTGGACAGAGGGAGTGTGGAATGGTTTCTCTAAGCGCCTGCCTCATTTCCCTCACACCGGGAGAGGGGCCACAGGAAAGCCAAACATTCTTTCAGACGCAGGTGGCACGTGTCCCTTATCCTAGCAGCTGTGACCCCGAGGCAGCATTGTGAGCGGATTACCTTAGGCCACTTGGTGAGACCACACTTCACAACGACAACACCACACTTGCCTCTAAGTCCTTCTTTATTATTTTTATCTCAATCTATCTGTGTGTATCTAAATGTGTGTATGCTACCAGTGTGTGGGTGTCCTTCGAGACCAGATGAGGCCATTGAGTTTCTTGGAGTGAGCTCTAGGTGGTTGTGACCTACTCGGTGGTTGGGAACTAAACTTGAGTCCTCTGGAAGAGAAGCAAGTGCCCTTAACTGCCGAGTCATCTCTTTAGACACTACACCTTGTTTATTTATTAGAAAACAAAAAACAACAACTTTATTTTAACCAGATATGGTGGCACATGCCCTTAGTCTCAATATTTGGGAGGCAGGGCCAGGGCCAGGGCCAGAGCCAGGGCCAGGGGCATCTCTTTGAGTTCAAGGCCAGCCAGGGCTACATAGTGAGACCTTGTCTAAAAAACACCTTTATTTTATTACTATTGTATGTGTGGAGGGGGTCGCATGTCATGTGAGGGGTTCAGAGGGAAACCTGGAGGAGTCGATTCTCTCTGTCTACCTCCATGTGAGCTGTGAGGATTGAGCTCACGTCACTGGGTTTGCGGGGAAAGAAGCCCTCTGCAGAAGCATCTCCTGAGCAGCCTCAGGGTGCGTCTAAGTCTTTGGGTAGACTTTTTGTTGCTTGTGAGTAACTGGGGCTAGGATTCTGGTCACTCAGTAAATGCACATTTCATTTTAGAAGAAATTGTTGTGTGTTTCCCGGTGACGAATGTCAGCAAGTTCTCAGGTGCCGGTCTGCCAACTGTTAGTGTATATTCTTTGGCAGCATGGGGTGGGCGGAGCCTCCAGCTCTGCCTCCTCGCAGGAGTCACAGCTCTTTCAACAATGTTGAACCTGATAGGTTGGCCAAATGCAAAGGGCCAGATACTAGGCAAGTGGGCTCTCCCTTTATCCTTGCACTGTCTGGGCAACTCTCAGGAGCTACGGTTTGAAAATGAATGTTTTTGTCTTGTTTTGAAGACAGGATTTCTCTGTGTAGCCTTGGCTGTCCTAGAACTCCGTCTGTAGACCAGGCTGGCCTTGACCTCATAAATCTGCCTGCCTCAGCCTCCAGAGGGCTGGGATTAACTGTGCCTGGCAAACGCATGATTCTTAACTTCCAGACTATTGCAAAGTACTTGAGAACAAAGGGGGAAAAACACGCTCCTGGCTCTCCTTTCCCGGAAATAGTGGTCGGATGCTCTGCAGTGTTTGAAAGTTACACAGTGCTGTAGGGTTCTGATTTCACTTGAATGCGAAATGACAGCAATGCCCGATCTTCAAGTGGACTCCTGTTTTCCAAGTGTTCCCAGCCCTGCTAGTCCCGGGACAAGTCTACAAAGCAAGGAGGCCCTGCTTTTCCAGCTGTCTGCCAGCTTCTTCCCTGCATCGTTTGGAATTGGCAAGCTCCTCCCACCTTTCCAGACCTACCTGTTCCATGAGGCTTTGTAATTGTATTGATTCCTAACAACATGCCTGCAAAGTAAGCTGTATCAGTCACACTTTATAGACAAGGCACAAGGTCTGTCCTTCCTGGATGGAGCAGGACCACACCATTTGCTTTATGAACCTATTCATATTTTGGGGGGGAGGGGTTTCGAGGCAGGGTTTCTCTGTGGCTTTGGAGGCTCTCCTGGAACTAGCTCTTGTAGACCAGGCTGGTCTTGAACTCACAGAGATCCGCCTGCTTCTGCCTCCTGAGTGCTGGGATTAAAGGCATGGGCCACCAATACCCGGCGGTACCTATTCCTATTAAAGTTATCTAAGGCAGGGGGATTGCTCTGAGTTCAAGGCTACCTAGAGTACATATCAAATACTGGGTTAGGTAGGGCTGCAGTTAAAATTATATATATATGTATGTATAAGTTTTCTGTTTCTTTTTATCTTTTTCACATCTTTTAACTCCCAAGCATGTCACCAGTGCTTACAAATAGCAGATGCACAACAAATATTTAATAAAGGAAGAAAATACTATGATCCATTAGTTCTCCAATCTCTACATTCCAAGTGCATACCATTATCCCCTGTTCCCTTAGAGTTTCATTAATCGGGGAGACAATCCCTAGTTGTTTCCACAGAGTTGAAAGAGTAACGGGAAGTCTGACTTCTGAGAGTAGAAACTCTTGGTTCCTTACACAAGAGCTATTAGCCAGTTTGCTACCATAGCAGAAGATGAAAACATATTCCTGGAGGAAGAGCTTTAAGTGCCTGAACAGGGAGAACATTTTGTAAATACTAGAATGTTCCAGATGGACAGAGATCTTGAAAATACACATTTGGTTATCTTACTCAGTTCTGTAAGGATTTCAGGGTCACGTGCCTGGTGATAATCCAACCCAAATCACTCTAAACAACTTGACCATGACCTCATCTTCTCCCCAGGGCCCTGAGATACGCTGGGTACAAGGCCAGGTGTCCCATACCCAGAAATCCAGGCAGCAACAGCAGTGATGACTAAAGGGTGAAGGAGACTGACATAAAAAGACTAGAAAACAAGACCCACGTGGCTTAGGGATTACAAAGTAAGGTCTTGTGTGTGTCTTGACCCCTCATCTCCAGAGCAAGACCATCTTCCACCAAGGGGAGGTGAAGGCAGGGCGGAGAGACGACAAGAAAGCCCTTGAGGAAAAGCAGAGCTGTGCAAACTCGCAGGAGTGCCTCCTGCTAAGCAACGGGAGAATCCCTCCCTCCCTGTGTGCTGGGACAGAAAACATAAAATCCTCTTTACAAGACTCAGGGAGACTGAGGCGACCAAAGGACAGGTGTCTTGTTAATGTCTTCTGTTCCCGCCTGTCTCCACAAGAAGACTCAGGCCTTGACTAATATTTAACCTTTCAGTGTCAGAGAGATCTTTGGGGAGTAAGACAACTGCTAAGGAGTAGGGTTGGGCAGATTGCCTGTGCCCCCTAATCTCTCAGAACAATGCTACAGGTCCAAGGCTTACCCTCCACCCTGCAGTTGGGCCATCACAGCACGTGACTGAGAGGAGAGAGGGGACTTTGAGTCTCCTGGTACAGCAGAACAGCTTCCTTCACAGCAGCTGAAACTTGAGCCTCCAACCAGAGAGGAAAGGTCAGAGAGTGAAGGCAATACTTGCTGGGTGTTTGCCAAGGCCTTGCTGAGTAGGAGGCCTGGCGCTGCCCATCTGCTCCCCAGCACCCCTTTCTGCTGCCAACAACTATGTTCTCTCTGTCTCTGTGCAGCTAGACCCTGAATTCTGCACACCTGGAATCTAGTGACTTCAGGAAAACCACATGTAAATGGTACCGGTGGCACTATAGCTTGAAACATAACGGTTTCTATCCAGCCATCAACTATCTACACAGGTTCTACCGGGGCCAGGCACACTGGCACGTGAGTGAGTTGAGAGACATTTGAAAGCTAGACATTGTGGTGCAAGCCTGTAATTCCAGCACCCAGGAGGCTGAGGCTAGGGGGAATGACATGAGTTTGAGCCCAGCCTTGGCTGCTTAATGAGTTCCAGGTCAGCATGAACAATAGAGATTTTGTCTTAACTACTCCCATCAACACCCGCCCCCAAATCCAAAGCAAAACAAAAAGGGTGAGCACAAAACAATGTTTGAGAGCAGAGCCAGCATGGGAGTCAGCCAGTATCCATACTGGACCCAGGCCAGCCCAGGGCATCCTGTGGAAGGGGCCCCAGCAATGTGAGCTTTACAGCTTTGGGCTAGCTAGGAAAAGTAATGGAAAATTCTAGTTCTTGTTCATGGTAACCTATTCCAAGTGGTACCTGGTCTCTGGAGCTCTGTGGAACTCCATGCTTATCTGATTCTCTTGGGTATTCCTTCCTTCCTTCCTCCCTCCCTCCCTTTCTTTTCCCGAGTTAAAAAAAATAGAAAAAGAAAGAGGAAAAGACCACTGAGAAGACCTGCTGAGTTGGTAAGTCTTGAGTTCAAGGCCAGCTTGTGTGACTTAATAAGATCCTGTCTGAGAGGGAGAAAGGAAGGAGGAGGAGGGGGGAGGGAGAGAGGGAGTCCCCAGAGCAGTGGTTCTCCTCCTTCCTAATGCTTCAACCCTTTAATACCGCTCCTGATGTTGTGGTGACCCCCAACCATAAAAT